AACCTTGTTTGCTGAAATCAAGCACGCCTCAAAATGCTATTCCAAACAATAAAGTTGCTTGATTAAATTCATTACCGAGACAGATTTGAAGATTATTTCGATGTGGCACACCGCTGCCACTCTAATATTGGACCGTTTTCAAAGTTTCTAATGCTTTGGGAACAACATAGGTTTCTCGAGAGTTGCAAAAGAAGTGGAAGGAGGAAGCGAACACTCAGACAGATCTCTTCCGATGGATCGCAAAGCATTAGGAACTTTGAAAACCGGTCCAATATCAGAGTGGCAGCGGCATGCCGCATCGCAATAATCTTCAAAATTCTGTCTCGGTAACGAATCTAATCAACAAACTTGGATTAGCATTTTGAGGCGTACTTGATTTCAGCAAACAAGTTTTCATGTGGAATTTAAAAATTGTATGTAAAACTACCAAAAAGTGCGCGACTTGGGCTTGTTCCAAGTTTTTTTCCGCGACTGTACTGGCTGTCATGGCCATCTATTCGATATGTGACCGCGCAGAAAACTCCTCCCCCCCCCCTGAAAGCCGCTCCAGGTCCCATCTACACACTTGCCTAGTACTCATCCTTTTATTGTGTTCTGCTGTTACTAATAAACGATTGGATCGATATCAGATGTTTACGCGACCGTCTACAGGACAAAATAATAAATAAACAAATGAAAAGAACACGTGCCTTAATCCGCATGCAATTATGCTGTGCAGCTAAGGCATCGAATCGTGCGAAATAGTTCATTGAGCATCAGAACCAGCTCTTCCGCTGTGTAATTAATACGCAGTTCGTAAATCACAGATATCCGCCGAACGAATGACTGGAAAATCTATACATAATTTAATGTGTTGCACCAATATTCCAACAAATGACACCCTAAGAATGTCAGTGTGCACAGAGATTGCAATACAGTCATTTCATATGGGATTAACGAAGCGCGCGTATTAAACAAGGAGAACGGAGAGAGCTCTCACACGTGGGATCAGATGGACAGCCATGAAGTATTTGAGAGGCTATCTTCATACGCATTCCGTTCTAAGCCCTCGCCCTGTGATGACTAACTTTTACGCTGCGGTTAGAGTGGCAGAGGGAGAAGCAACAGAAACCTTCTGACTTCTACGGATAGAATGAGGTTCAAGTTCATTTCCCGCCCGAGGCGATGCGTCCTGCACTTGAAGGCAACTGGCACGATAATTTGGTACTCGGCCTAAAATGCTAGCAGAGCGCTATGTGGAAAAAAAACGAAGTGAAACGGTCAAAAACCTGCGAAGAAAAGCCTTCGTTCTTAATGACTCAAAAAGCAATTTCGGACGAGTTTCCCGTAGGCATCTTGCCAATAACCGCTACGGTAGTACGGCTGCACGTATGTACTCATATATCCATGCAGCACCGCAGCCGCTTCATACCAATCCTTTCGCTTCATATTTTACTTAGCGAATGAAGCAGTACGAGCATCAGGAAAGGTGGTCCATTTAAGGGCTAGCGGACGTGGTGAGCGTTCGGGTCGGTATGTTGATGCTTGATAGCGCCCTTATGAGTGTATATGAGAGTATCCTTCTGGAAAAGGTGCTACGCAGCGCCTGCTCAGGGTCGCGGAATTCCGTCCTGCCAGGCGTATTGACCCTACTACTCTTATGTTAGGGATTTATCGTGCCAACTGCCTTTGAGAGTATACCTATTTCTCAATATGTATCAGTGCAAGCACCTTCACCCTTCGTGATAACCATCCAATCGAGATTGGCCTAAATAAAGTATATAGAGGGAGGAATCGTGTACTGTTTAGTTTTTGTCTAATAGTAAGAGCATTCACGAAACGGCAGCAGAAGGCCGAGCTACAGCCTCGTTTTTTGTGCTGGGCGTGTCAGGAGGGGGAGGGAGGGGCAGGGGAAAGGGGAAGGAGCG